CTCAGAAGCAATCAGAATAATCTAAAGCCAAAGAACACTCTGATCTTAATCAAGCAGAACATTCTGAAGTGTCAACGGTACTGCATTCAAGGCAGATTAATTACCAACGGATTTATTCCAAGACAAAGATCTTCTCAATATGGAAACAACATAATGAGCATTGAAATGGAATTATTGGAATCAACGTATCTATTCCAAGAAGTATTTAAACAAATCAGTGAGAAGTGAATTGGCTAATGCTCTACAGTACCTTACACGCATATACACGCCAAAAGCAATAATCATCAAGCTCGTTCTCACTTTTGCTAAAAGCTCTCAATTGATTATTCTATAGCTCTAGCAATCTAGTTTCATATAAGCTTCATTTGTGTATTATCACAGTTGTGATATATAGTTTTTGTAGAAAACATCAAACACACATAATTGTTCATTTATCTGTAAGAAAGAACTTCCTTGAGAAACCGGTCTGTGGTTTAGACTCAAGAAGGCTTTAGCAGTTGTTAAAGCAGATTTGTATTCAGTTGAATATAGTGGACTAAGACCTCGTTGGAGAGAGGCGAAATCACCTTGACGGGTGGACAGGAGTAGTTTGAGATCAAATGAACCAGGATAAAAATAACGTGTTGTCTGCATTTGATTTCAAGTTTTAACAATTCAACCCCCCTTCTTGTGTTTTTCACATCTTCAGAGAATGCCAAAGAAGCGTCGAACACATTGCAGGAGGAGTTTCAAGGAAGCGTTAAGGTACGTGCTGTCAAACTTCAATCTCTAAGAAGATATTTTGAACTATTGAAGATAAAGGAGTTTGAGACAGTTAAAGATTACTATTCTAAAGTTAAAGAAATAGTTAATCAAATGAGAGCTTTTGGAGAAGACATTCTCTACAAGAAAATTTTTAAGAAAATTCTAATTACTATGCCCCCAAAGTTTGACCCAATCATGAAAAGGATTGAAGAAACCAAAGATCTGTCCACTCTATCAGTGACAGAACTTGTGGGCTCTCTTGAATTAAATGAGCAAAGACGATATAAGCATAAAGAAGATACACTTGAAAATGTCTTCCAGTCAAAGCTCAAATTTCATCCCCAAAACAAAGAAAATGGAGGAAAGAAAAATTATGGAGAAACTTTAAGAAGAAGAGAAGGTTCTAGGAATTTTCTTAAGAATAAAACAGATAAAAATCCTCCATGCATTATATGCAAAATACTGGGCCACGGAGAGAGAAATCGTTGGTTCCGTAATATGCCATAATGCAACCATTGCAAGAAGTTTGGGCACGTAGAGAAAAATTGTCGCAACAAAAATAGGCATCAAGCTAATATCGCAGAGGAGAATGATCAAGAACAATGTATGTTCTATGCCACTCAAGACTCAGTCAAAGAAAAAGGAGGAAGTTGGTGCTTGGATAATGGATGTAGCAATCACATGGCCAAGGATGAGACTATTTTCAAAAGCATTGGCGAGTCTGTCAGAGTCAAAGTTCAACTGGGAAATGGCAGTGTGGTTGAATCAAAAGGAATAGGCATTGTCGTGGTGGAGACAGATAAAGGTACACAACTCATCCATTATGTCTTACTAGTCCCCAACCTTAAAGAAAATCTTCTAAGCATTGGCCAAATGATGGATAGAGGCTACACATTTCACTTTGAAGGAGGAGTACGCAAAGTCTTAGACAACAAAAATAAAAGGGCCGAGATAATCCAAGTGAAGATGAATAAGAGCAATAGAAGCTTCCTGCTAAATTTAAAACATACAACTAACATTTCCATGAAGGTATAAGTTGATGGTTCATGGCTCTAGCATCAAAGATTTGGCCACTTCAACACACATGCCTTAAAGTTGTTACATGAGAAGAACATGATGAGAGATTTTCCAAGCATAAAGGAGAACAATGAAGTGTGTGAAGGATGTCTCCTTGGTAAGAAACACTGATTTCCATTCTCAACAAGCGGAGCATGGAGAGCAAAAGATCTGTTGGAGCTAATTCATACTGATGTATGTGGACCGATGAGGATGCCATCACACGAGAATAACGGGTACTACATATTCTTCATTGATGACTTCTCTAGAATGACATGGGTCTATTTACTAAAAGAAAAATCAGAAGTCTTTGGAGTATTCAAAAAGTTCAAGGCCCTTGTTGAAAATCAAAGTGGAAAACGGATAAAAATACTAAGAAGTGATCGCGGCAAAGAATACACCTCCCGCGAGTTTGACAGATTTTGTGAGGATGAAGGCATAGAGCGACAACTTACAGTCGCATATTCTCCTCAACAAAATGGTGTATCTGAGAGAAAGAATCGCACAGTTATGGAGATGGCTAGATCAATTCTCAAGGAGAAGGGACTTCCTAACATATTCTGGGCTGAAGTAGTCTACACTGCTGTTTACATACTTAACAGATGTTCAACTAAGTCAGTACAAGATAAGACTCCAATTGAAGCTTGGAACAGGAAGAAGCCATCAGCAAAGCTCCTAAGGATCCATATGCTACATTCATATTCCAGACGTGAAGAGGCACAAGCTTGAAGAGAAAACTATACGAGGTATCTTCTTGGGGTATAGCACAATCTCTAAAGGCTGTCGTGTCTACAACTTGCAAACAAAAAAACCCATCATCAGTCGAGATGTTGAAGTTGATGAGAATGCTTCTTAGAATTGGGATGAAGAAAAAGTGTAAAAGAACATCCTTATATCAGCTCAACTACCTCAAGAAGAATCTGAGGAAGAAGGCCCAGGTGAACCTTCTTCACCTCCACCACAACAACATGATCAAGAATTATCATCACCAGAGTCTACTCCAAGACGAGTAAGATCTTTGATGGATATATATGAAACATGTAACTTGGCCATACTCGAACCTGGATGTTTTGAAGAAGCACCAAAGTAAGAAGTATGGGTCAATGCAATGGAAGAAGATATAAAGATGATCAACAAAAACAACACATGGAAGTTAGTAAATCGTCCCCATGGAAAAGATATCATTGGGGTTAAGTGGGTCTATAAGACAAAGCTCAACCCTGATGGAACCATACAGAAACACAAGGCAAGGTTAGTAGCTAAGGGTTACTCACAGCAACCTGGGATTGACTACAATGAGACATTTGCACCAGTAGCTCGTCTTGATACCATTAGAGCTCTAATAGCTATTGCGGCACAAAGAGGGTGGAGTATCCAGCAACTAGATGTCAAATCAGCCTTCCTCAACGGTGTACTTGAAGAAGAGATCTATGTGGAGCAGCCACAAGGATTCATTTCTGAAAGCGAAGAAAGAAAAGTGTTAAGACTAAGAAAAGCACTTTACGGTTTGAAGCAAGCACCTCGAGCATGGTATAGTAAAATTGATCAGTATTTCATAGATCAAGGATTCAAGAGGAGCAAGAGTGAGCCAACACTTTACATCAAGTCTCAAGGTCAGTACACTCTCTTACTCTCTCTATATATAGATGACCTTATCTACACGGGATACAATACCAAGATGATGATGAAGTTCAAAGAAGACATGATGAAGACCTTTGAGATGACCGACCTTGGTTTGATGAGTTACTTCCTCGGTATAGAGGTAAGTCAGAGAAATAAAGGGATATTCATCTCGCAAAAGAAATACACATAAGGCTTACTCAAGAAATTCAATATGTACGGTTGAAAACCCATCGCTACTCCACTCATAACAAATGAGAAACTACAAAAGAATGATGGAACACCAGAAGCTAATGCATCCAAATATCAAAGTCTAATTGGAAGCCTTCTATATTTGACAACTACACGGCCAGACATAATGTATGCTACAAGTCTTCTATCAAGATTCATGCAAAACCCAAGTCAAATACACTTTGGATTAGAAAAAGGAATTTTAAGGTATCTACAAGGAACAAAAGAGTTTGGTATATGGTACACTACTGAAACCAACTCAGGATTACTTAGCCACACCAATAGTGATTGGGCAGGCTCGGTAGATGACATGAAGAGCACCTCTGGCAATGCTTTCTCACTAGGATCGGGAATTTTCTCTTGGGCGTCGAAGAAGCAAGCTACAGTTGCACAATCAACAGCAGAAGCAGAGTATGTGGCTGTTGCTGAAGCAACGAGTCAAGCTATATGGCTTCGCAAGATACTTGAAGACATGGGAGAAAAACAAGATGAGCCTACTAAAATTGATTGTGACAACAAATCAGCAATTGCAATGGCGAAAAATCCAGTGGATCACAGTAGAACAAAACACATAGCAATCAAGTATCACTTTATTAGAGAAGCTGAAGCAACTAAGGAGATCAAACTCGACTACTGCAGAACAGAAGAATAGATTACAGACATGTTCACGAAGGCGTTACCGAGACCAAGATTTGAAGAGCTGCGAACTATGCTTGGAGTTACAGAAATTTGCATCAAGGAGGAGTGTTGAAATTGCTACAAATTTCTAGAATATTCTAAATATAATATGTATGGTAATGGTAGAATGAATATCCTAGAAACTATAGTGTGTATGAATATGGTAGAATAATCTAAAACTATAAGTGTATGTAAAAGATAGAAGAACCTAGAATTATCATAATACTAACATATCATGAAAACTCTAGAAAAATCTAAAGTAATGTAGAAACATTCACCACCATTGAGAGGTTGGTGACTTGAGCCTATAAATAGGCATTTGATATCTTGTAATGTATAATCTAAGACATCAATGACATAGTCTTCTTTCTAAACAATTTTCTAAAACTATTTTCTATCAACTATCAATTAAACCACTGCTAACGGTTACTATTGAAGACTATATCAAATTAATATTTTACACAATATACAAATTAATTATTTTACACAATCATATAATGTGTTGTAATATTATTTAATACACCCTTAAATTTCCCACATCATAAACTCTGAGATAAGTAATTAGCACAATGATTTAAATGAAGGTAATCTTTAAATTTCAAAGATGTATTTTCATTCTTTAAGTATAGTGATTTACTGATAAAAGAATATACCACCCTTGTGAATGAAATCTACCGAGGGTATGGATCAGTATTTGAAGCCTGGTTTATCGATTCATTCGACGTTGTTGCATCTTGATTTTCAGCCCATAGTTGCTTGTCATGTAAGCTTCCAGTTCCAGTTCCACTTCCATAAAAGTATGCAGGTTTCAAAGGTACTGTGAGACTAAGAGAGTAACTATTAAGCATGAGTGCAACAGCTGCCATGGTTGGTCTATCAGCTGCATCTTCTTGAATACAAAGCAAACCAATATGAATGCATCTCATTATTTCATTTGATGAAAAGTTTTTTAATGATGGATCTATAATATTTGATGATTTCCCCTCTCTCCAGCTTTTCCATGCCTGCTCAAGTGTAAATAACAAAAAACAATTAGGTCATCAATGAATTTCTACTATAAAGTTTGAATCACATAAGCTTAAGAAAAAAATTATAGTGAGAAAAGTGTTACTTACAAAGCTCAATAGATACTCAATATCATTTCCATGACGAATGTTTGCACTATTTTTATGACCGCTTATAATCTCAAGAACCAATACTCCAAAACTAAAGACATCTGATTTTACTGAAAATAATCCATTTATTGCATATTCAGGTGCCATATATCCGCTGCATGCCAATTTAGACAAACTTAATTAGTACAAGAATTATAAAATTTCAAATTGATTATTTTCCTCTAATCAAATTGCTACAAACAAATAATGTGCTCAATAACAAAGTTCTAATTTTAATTCTTCTGGTGAAAGAGTGTTTTATGTTATGGATGAATCATACATTTGATATATTTTAAAAGGTTTGGTATTTCAAAACAATCAAGTAATATATCACACTATTTGAAATTATTATTTTACTTATAGACGACTCAAATTAAGTCAAGTAGTAAACTCAAGCATTTTCGAAAACTTACTAGGTTCCAACGATTCTCTTTGTATTCCCTTGACTTTGATCAATAACAAACAATCTTGCCAATCCAAAATCAGATATCTTAGGATTCATGTCATTGTCTAACAAAATATTGCTTGCTTTGATATCACGGTGTATAATCCGCAAACGAGAATCTTCATGAAGATAAAGAAGACCTCGAGCAATACCTTTTATGATTTCATAGCGCTTTTGCCAATTCAATTGAGCTTTCCTGATTGGATCTACAAATATAACCAAGATCATAAGAATTTTAAAATTGTTTTAGTTGTCAGTAATTATCTTATTTCACTATAAACAATATATAAGTAATTGTGCAAATTTACCAAATATGAAGTAATCAAGACTTTTATTTGTAACATATTCATAAATAAGCAGCCTTTCTCTCCCTTCTAAACAGAAACCAAGTAGCCTAACTAAGTTTCGATGTTGAAGTCTGGCTACTAATAATACTTCATTTTTAAATTCTCCATCTCCTTGGTTAGATTCTTCTAACAATCTTTTGACAGCAATCATTTGTCCATCTGGAAGTTTACCCTGAAATATACAAGTTGTAGGTATATTAGATTACATATATTTTTGTCTTGCAAAATGTGATGTCTTTTAAATATAAAAAAAAATGATAACTTACCCGATAAACAATTCCAAATCCACCTCTCCCAAGTTTGTTAGAATCAGAGAAATCATTTGTAGCGACTCGTATAATATCAAAGTTGAATTGTAATGACTCAACAATTATAATTTCATCTTCATCTCCATCATCATATTTTCTAATGTTTGCTTCACACAATAACCAAAATGAACAAGTTAGTTTTTCAAACATTATAACTATAAATGTAATAGAAATGCAAATTATTAATATAACTTTTTGAGGCATATTAGAGAATATCTTAAGCAAGATAGTTATAATTAGTTACATTAACTATAACCAACTATAGAAAGTTATTTAGATGAGTGCAAAGTTGGTTAGGATGAGAATATGTGAATGCTTCTCAAATTCCACCAATGTTCAAAACAAAAAATGAATTGTTGGTGAATATCGTCTCTGAAAACTATGAAGGTTGGGTCATGCAAGATCAAGCATTGTTCACATAGCTTTTCTCCATAATCTCCAAGACTAAGAGCAGATAAAATTGGCTATAACTTTTGGCACAAATCATACATTTCAAGGCAGAGGTAGAACAAATCGTGGAAAAGGTCATGGAAGGCAAAGTTATAATCCTTGTAACATACCAACTTGTCAACTCTCCAACAAATATGTTCACTTAGTGATAGAATGATGGCATAGATTTGATGAGTCATTTGATCATACGTCAACCAAATGATTTTGGATATGCACCAGACACTTATAAATCTCAGGAATCAACATCATCCCAGGCGAACACTTGTTTAGCACATAAGGAACAATTCGAAATTCCTGCAGACTCAAGTGCATCACATCTCATAACTCCTATTGAATATAAATTGCACATGAAATTATCATGTATTGGACCTAAGCATGTAGTAGTTGGTAATGGACATAACATGTTAGTTCAATCAATTGGACATGCAAATGTCATCTCAGAATGCACGTTAAAACCATTGCCACACCTAAAGTCATTTACTGCATGTCCCTTAAATAACTAAAAACCTGATGTTTGTTTCAAAATTTGCTAAGGATAATGATGCATATTTTGAATTTCATGCTGAAAGTGCTACGTGAAATCACCGACATTTAAGTTGGCTCTCCTTGAAGTATTTCTTGACGGGAGTGGATTGTACTGCTTCCACAATCTTGCTCCTGCATCTTCAAGGAATAACTTCAAACCCAAGTTACATCAAGAATCCTATTTTGTTGATAATACTATTGCATTAGATCTTTTTTTAATAAAGCCTCTTTATGACATGCTATGCTAGGTCATGCCAACTCTAAGGTTTTTCAAATTTGTAAAATTTAATGCAAGAATAAAGAGTTATTAGAATTTTTCAATTCTTATTGTCTTTGTAAATCACATAGAATACATGCTCTTTTGTTCAATACCACTTATATTAATGCTGTTGATGTTGTTTATACTGGCTTATGGGGTCCTTCTTCTAACCCTTCGAAACAATGAATACTCTTATTATATAGATTTTGTTGATACATTTTTCAAGTATACTTGGTTGTATCTACTAAAAAATAAAAGTGATGCTCCAAATGCCTTCAAACTATTCCAAAAGCATGTTACTACATAGGTTAACATTAAAACCATTAGTATTCTCAAGCAGCCACGCACATCCTATTCTTCTAGATTAAGTCTCCTTTATTAAGTTTTTCTAGTGTTGGTACTTTGCTGTTGAAATATCACGTTGTGGTAAACCCTAACTCCTCTTTTTTTTTAATATGACTTTATGCTTTGTTTTGATAAACCTCTGTTTTTTCATTTTTCTTTAATCATTATTGCTCTTCAAATATTATTGCTCTTCAATTTGAGTGTGGGTTTGTTTACATAATTTGTGTTTTGACTTTTTCAAGATGCATTGCAAATTCAATGTTCTTTTTGAGTTTTTTTCTTAATTACATGCTTTCCCTTTTCACATTTTTTGTTGCTAAATTTCATGTGACTTGTCCTTTTTCAGGTTACTATTGAAGTTCCTTCTTTGGCCTTGATAAATTCCATGTGTCATGTGTTAAGAGAGTTATCTAGTTGATTGATATAAAGGTGAAATCTCTAATACCTCTCATATTTAAAATGATATGCCTTTGGAAATGTATGGATGAGATGTTGGATCAAACTCTAGGTGAAATCTCTAATACCTCTCATATTTAAAATGATATGTCTTTGGAAATATATGGGTGAGATGTTGGATCAAACTCTATTGGGTTGAAGAGTAGTTTCTGGTTCGACAGGATTTATGTATGCTGTCGAAGTATGTTTACATGCTGGTATCAGAGACCTACATACTGTAGTTGAAGTGTGTTCTAGTATATGGGTGTCGAAATGCTAGGGTTGTTAGTATTTCGAATTGGGTCTGTTTGTTATGTCCAATTGTTTAAGTTAGCTTGTAATGGATATTTAGGAAAAAACCTATTAGTTTAGTATGTTAGGTTTATTATAAATAGCATACTAGTATCTCATTATTGCATACTACAAATCCTAATTTAGGTCTTAATTTAGAGTGATAGAGTCATTTGTTATTCTTGTGTACTTGTAATCTTGTTTGAAGAGAAAATAAAAAATAGCAGTTAATAATCAATCCTTGTTGTTCTTCGTGTTTTTCATTCTTTTATACCCTTATGGGTTTCTTGCCTTGAAGAACCATGTTATACTTTGTTTCAAAGGTATCGTGTTTCACAACAAATTAGTGCAGTGAGCATGAAGAAGATGCCTTCAACAAAGTATGAGATTGAAAAGTTCACCGGAGTGAACAATTTCGGTCTGTAGCGCTTGAAGATGAAAGCCCTACTGGTTCAGCAGAGTTGTTTGGAAGCGTTGAAGGGAGCGAAGGCCATGGATGTGCGTTAGCAGAAAAGGAAAAGACAACCATGATAGAGAAAGCCCAAAGCGCAATCTTGTTGAGCCTTGGTGATAAGGTTCTTCGACAGTTATCAAAAGAGACGACGACATCAGGGTTATGGGTGAAACTTGAAAGTTTGTATATGACCAAATCGCTGGTAAATTGTCTCTACCTGAAGCAAGCTTTGTATTCATTCAAGATGATTGAAGATAAAGTATTGACTGAGAAATTGGATATGTTCAACAAGCTGATTCTTGATTTTGAAAATATTGATGTGAAGATCGATGGTGAAGATCAAGCGTTGTTGTTATTGTGCGCTTTGTCCATAACACATGCTCACTTCAAAGAAGCTCTCTTGCATGGAAGGGAGTCCCTGACCTTTGAAGAAATTCAACCAGCCTTGTATTCTAAGGACTTTAACGAATAAAAGGAGCATAAACCTTTGACGATTGGTGAAAGTTTGGCTGTTAAGGCAAAATTCTTGCGAAAGGATGGTAAATTCGATAAGAAGAAATGTAAAAGTCAGCATAAGTCTTACAGTGGCGAAGCATCTGATATTCGATGATATCATTGTAAGAAGGAGGGTCACACAAGAAAGGTGTACCTTGAACGCCTTAAAGATCATAGAGGTAAGGATAATGACAATGCAACTATTGTTCAAGATGATTTCAACTCATCTGATGTTCTTGTGATTTCGAGCAACAATCCGTCGAAGGAGTGGATTATGGATTCTAGGTGCACTTGGCACATGACTCCAAACAAAGACTTATTCGAAGAGCTATGTGATCAAGATGGTGGATCTGTATTGCTGGAAACAACAAAGCTTACAAGATTGCATGTGTTGGATCTGTGAGATTCAAGCTCCATGATGAATCAATAAAGTTGTTGACTGAAGTCTGGTATGTACCGGATTTGAAGAGAAATCTGATTTCTCTTGGTGAATTCGACAAGAAAGGATATATTTTTCAAGGAAAGAAAATTATCCTAAGAGTCACGAAGGGGTTGAAGGAAGTCTTTAGAGGCGTGAAGAAGCAAGACTTGTATACCTTTGAGGCTGAATTTGTAAGTGGTTCGACAAATATTGTATCCATGAAACCTTTGTCGAAGACAAAAATTTGGCTCATGAGATTGAGCCATGTTAGTGAAAGGGGTCTGATCAAATTAGGGAAACAAAACTTTCTTGGTGGAGACAAAGTCAAAAAGCTAAAGTTTTGTGAACCATGTGTACTTGAAAAATCTTGTAGACTAAAGTTCAACAAAGGCAAACAAAGAACACATGGATCCCTTGATTACATCCATGCTAATCTTTGGGGACCTGGAAGGTGTAAGTGCCCTGGCTGGAGAGTTGGCTTCATTTGTAAAACAAATAAGAAAGCAAGTTTACCCAGATCCCCTCTGTTGTTTTAATATGTGGTGTTGAAGAAGTTCAACATCTGGACCAACATGTTATGTAAGATGTCACAACATCAGCATGTGACATCGCGCCTGAAACTAAGTACTGTTTAAGTAACTATGCTATATGTTGAATGCTTGTAACAGCTGTGACTTATAACCTAACTATTCTAAGTGATCTAGGTTATTTGTTGTGTTGAAAAAGTTCAACATCTAGGAAAACATGTTAGATGTAATGTCATGACATCTGACTTGACATCACGACAACAGAATTGATAATTCAGTTACAGTTCTGGTACTTAAATACTCTGAGAATATATGAGGCGTTTCTTGTGGAGAATCTGAAGATCAATCAAGAATCAATCAGAATATTTGAAGAAAATACTGTTTCTAAATATGGAGATATTTTAGGAACTAGAAGATTGAAGACCTTGATTATAGGAGAAGTTTGCTGCTGAGTTGTAACAGCAAGGAGAAAAACTTGCTGAGTTAGGTAATAGGTTATAAATAGCAGATTGTAACCTAGGGCTTAGGAGATACACATAATGTAACATTAGAAGGTGTTTTTAGGTAAACCTGTCGGTCTGTGGCAAGGTTACCATGTATGTAACTCGAAACCTGTAGGTAAGAGTTTGAGTGTTCTTGGATGAAGCTGTGAAGCAAGTCTAAGTATTTCTGCATTACTCCATATTCATTGTAATGTAGGAAACCAAGTGGGAGGGCACTGCTTCTTGAGTAGGAGTAAGACTTCTGTTGTTGCGACAATAGGAATGGAAACTGGTAGGTTTCTATCTAGGAGTTCCTAGGTATAGGTTGCACTGGGTAGATGATTAAGTGAAGGATGGGAACTTGTGAAGTTTAGTCCTGAATTAATATTGCTAATAGTGGATCTTCTTCCTGGCTTGGTATGC